AAGTGCACAAGAGTGCTTTAATATGAGGCACTCTTTTGCACGAAATGTAATTGAACGATGCTTTGGCATTTTGAAGTTAAGGTGGGCTATTCTAAGAAGCTCATTATTTTATCCTATTCGAACATAGAACTGAGTTATAATTGCTTGTTGTCTCCTACACAACTTAATTCGACAAGAAGATGTGGATCCACTTGAAAATGAAGTTCAAGAAATGGGTATTGATGTGGACGGGATGGAAAACACTCCGATTCAAAACATGGATGCTTCTGATGAATGGGTTACCTTTAGGGATACTCTTGCTAATGAAATGTTCACTGCTTTTGCTTCTAATAAGACATTTAGATGAATTAGTTATTTTATTTAAATATTATTGTTTGTTTGAATATGTTAGTTTCCTTTGTTTGTTTGAGTGTGGTGTATGGTATGATAGAACATGAATTATTGTCATGTCCTTAATAATACATGGTTTTATTCCTTAATAATAATATATTCTGATATTGTTATTTATGTTATTATCAAGTTCTAACATTTTCTTCTTATAGTTGAACAAACATGTCAAGCAAGTCTAGAAAGTCGGATAAGCACATGTGGATGCCTAAAGAGGATGAGTTGCTAATCCAGTGCATGATGGCACTACATGATAAGGGTGAACTTATCTCTGACAATGGTTTAAGACCACGTGTGTTGAATACTTTGAATGATATGCTTGATGGTTTGATACCTGGAAGTGGTATTAAGGCCCATCCTTAGATCCAGTCTAGGGTTAAAAAGTTAAAAATTAACTATGGTGTGGTTTCTGATCTTCTTAATTTATCTAGTTTTGGTTGGGACGTTGAAAAGAAATGTGTGACAGCTTTTAAACTTATTTGGGATGAATATGTTAAGGTAAATTTTTTATTTCTGTCAAATTCTGGTTGTTAATTATTGCTATCAAATTCTATCTGTCTCTGGTTTTTTATTTCTGTCAATTTTTGGTTTTTAATTACTGCTGTTAAATTTTGTCTATCTCTGGTTTTTTATTTCTGTCAAATTTTTGGTTTTTAATTGCTGCTGTTAAATTTTGTCTATCTCTGGTTTTTTATTTCTGTCAATTTCTGGTTTTTAATTACTGCTGTCAAATTCTGTCTCTCTTTTTTTTTATTTCTGTTAGTTTTTGTTAATTTCTGGATTTCAATTGTTGCAATTTTTCTTTTAGATTTTACTGCTATTTCTGTTATTTAATTTCACTTGTAGGTGAACAAGGAGGCTGCAAAGTGGAGGAATAGGACTTTCCCTCATTATGATGAGTTGTCTAATATTTTTGGGAAGGATAGGGCGACTGAAAAAGATGCTCAAGCATGTGAAGATATTCTTGAAGAGATTTGTTCTCATGATTGAATTGATGTTGAAGAAATTTCACCATCTCAACAGTCACTAAATCCAATAATTTCTCTTCTATTAATTTTATTGTCAACAAAAAATAGATGAAAAAGAGGATACCACTTTTTAATGTTAAGAATCTCAGATGATAACAAGTTTCAGTAGAATTTTCAGGATCAGCTAAACTGAGTTTGGAAGGTTATGAACTAAGTAGACTAGAATTGCCATTATTCAATTTTGATTATATTGCAATAGCCACAGACAATTTCTCAGAGGAAAACAAGCTTGGGCAAGGAGGTTTTGGTCCAGTCTACAAGGTAAAAAGGCTTTCTGTTGAGCTTTCTTTTCAAAACATAAGATTAAATAAAATCTGATCAAATTTTCTTCATTCATTTTAATAGGGAAAGCTTTGTGGGGAGGAGCAAATTGTTGTTAAGAGGCTTTCAAGAAAATTTGGGCAAGGTCTAGAGGAGTTCAAGAATGAGATGATGCTAATTGCCAAACTACGAATATATGAATATATGCCAAACAAAAGCTTGGATTTCTTTTTATTTGCTTTTTATCTTACATATGCCTTGAGCAACACCATTGATTTTATTTTGAGATTGATCAATATTGTCTGTGACTTGTACAATAGCATCAATTATAAATATTAATGCATAATACAACATATTTCTTGTACTTGAATTTATAAAAGGATTACAATAGCATCCATCTTCCATAATAAGTAAAGGCTTGAACATAAATCTAGAAGGTAATCAATTTGCTACTTTGATTCCTTATATATCATGCTTTTGACATCCTAACAACTCCACCTTCAAGCCAAGTTAGCCACCTGGAATCTTCATTAACCTGAAAAAAGTAAAAACCAAATCATATTTTTAGCAAACCTTACTAAACAGATGAAACAAGAACAATGGGTAGCTAGTACTGCCAAAATTAGGAGAACATGAGAGAGGGAGAAGGAAGCTTGAAAGCATATGGAGGATTAATCGAAAAGTAAGACAAAAAGCATACACCAATGTTGAAAAACAAAAGCCCCTTGATCACATAACCCCTGAAAAAAAAAAGATTTTCCTGCAAGGAATTTAAAACTAAATTATTATTAATATTACATGGAAATCTTGTAAGCATCTTTTAGTATCTTGACTTGGTATTTGGCAACAAAGTCAACTTATTTGTGGGGATCAAGATGCAATTAGTGCACTAGTTAGGGATTACCTTTATCTTTCATACGTCTTTCCTACTCTCCAACATGCCTACGGAGTACATTTAGCAAAGATCCAAAGTACAATGCAAAAATTGTGCAAGTAATTGTGATGACATTGTAAGGCATGCTAAAATCAGGTGTCGTCATGGGCACCAGCGGAATTTCTGTATATGAAAGAACAGGACCCTTCTCCTGCACTACAGATCCCATATAGATAGATAGTTATTATTGCTAATGGAATGTCAATTCCTTGGTTAGTAACACAGGAAGCTTATTAGTGGATGCAATATCATCAAACTGAGAGGACAGAATATGAAAATTTTCAATTTAGTTTACAAAATAAAACATACTAAAGACATTTGTGCTGAGTAATGTTGGAAACTTGTAAGCGGATGCAATATCATCAGAATGATAGGACAGTAGATAGAGTATGGAAATTATCGATATGTTCATTTTTCATAAAACTATTGAAAAATGATGCACAAATCAACTAAAACTAACGGAAGCCAGAGCAGAACTAGGATTTTATATGAATATAACAAGATTAACAAACAAAAGTTCAGCAATAAAGTACGCCCCTAGTTATTTGGAAAATTGGGAATCTCCCATACGTCCACACTGGAAATTTCTCCCTTTCTTCTCTCTTCACCCTTTTAAGACTCAAACAATTACCACTAAAATTGACAGCCAAAATTACCCAAAAACTGACCAGAGCAAATACATAACCACCCTAAACTGCCTAATTTCTACCCAGATAATTTCATAACCACCCTATGGTGCCGAAAAACTACCTAAAACGGTTACTGCTTAATCGTTAATCCATCTTCCAAGAAACATGAACATGTTATGTTGATATCAAACATACTGACAATAAAGAGAAAGCAATTACCATCAAGAGCATGCATAAACTTACAGGATAAATAGTCTTAATCTTTAAAATAAGTGTAGTCCATGTGTCAAAGCCCTGTGAAGACCGAAGAAGGTCAGTTAAGAACCAACATCAGAAGAAGAAACTGATTTCACATTCATTTACCTTGAAATTGTCTACTACATTTCTTTTCATATAAGATAGTTGCCATTCTTTTTGGTAATGGAAAAAGAATTTACTGATGAGATGGGAGAACAATACTAAAGTTACAAATACAAAGGATAAAGAATCCTTTACAAAGAAAAGCTAACATAAAAGGAAACAATCCAAGCTCTAACTAAGAAAAGCCTGCTGATCCATTTGAAATTTTGTAAAGGGTACCCCTCTAAAAAAATGACTTGCGATAACCCACAACTAGGACATAAAAAAATCCTCTTCCAAAGAAGTTGTGGTTGAAGTATTAATTGAACGCTCTAGTATTCTATTTTAAAGATTGAAACATTGCTTCCATCTAATGAGTAGGTTCAAAAGATCATTAAAATTCAAATGTCAAGACCAGCTTGCCGCATCAATTCAACATTTTAGTTCAACATAGTCTATACTGCCAGGACCAACTTGCCGCATCAGTATATTAAAACAGAGATAGTAACTGGTGCCCACACAAATTAAAACTACTATGTATTCTATTCTATATATTATGTTATGCTATAAATCAACCTTCCCAAATAGCTTAAAAGAGAGGAAACACGCACAGATCACAGAGAAGCAAAAGGGAAAAAATGCAAGCCAGCCAAGGCAAGGTAAGAGTAAAGGACGCACTTACCGAGCAATGGAGTGATGGAGAGCAGTGGAGGAGAGAAACGCGATGATGGACCTTCAACTAAAGGAAAGGAAGGAGATTAGCAAGTTCGACAAAACAAATGTATGAATAAAATCTATACACCACAGAATACCAGATTAGAAACCAACACCTTTTTGCAATATGGAGCTCAACAAAGAAGTGAGGGAGAGTGGAAGGAGGAGATGTGGACTAGATGTGCCGAAACCATCGAGGTCATAAGGAGAACATTAACCCACCAACGATAAATACCCACCGACGGCAAAGTGCTATTAACTATCAATGACGGATCGACTTTTGATCTGTGTGGAGAAGGAGAATGATGGAGGAGGTAATGGAGAGATGCACATGAGAGTGAGAGCGAGAGCTAGTGGGAAATGATTTGGTCGATCCATTAGTGAGGAACTATGATTGTCTAGGACAGTGACCAAGGAACCACATTCAACGACAACAAGGCGAGAGGGGGAGGGAGGGTAAAGATCGATCGAGATAGAGAAAAGAGGGCTCTGGCATTACAATTTTTTAATTAATTATAAAGAATATTATAGTCTTTTTTATCATTTATATTTAGTTATAGAATAAAATAAAAATAAGCATTCCCTACAATTATTATCACATACCAAAAGTAATTTTGAAGCCTCATTCTCACTCCTAATCCCAATCTCATTTTCACTCTCAATTTCAGTCTCAATCCCTTTAAATTTAAGCTCACGTACCAAACAGGCCTAAAGGAAAGAATCATCGTCAATTCGAAAAACATCGCCGTCGCTACATCGAGAGAGGAGCGAGAGCGCCCAGAGCCTACTTTTCAAACTGCACGTTGCATCTTCTCTGCATTTTCTCTTCCGTACTCTCCTCCATCTTTGCTTTCCTTGTCGTTTGTACTTCTCTGACCTTTCTTGACGCTGTTTCGTTAGCTTCTACGTACCTAGTTCTTTGAACAGGTCGCTGCAACAGCTCCGCTTGTTCCCCACTTCGCTTTCCGAGTCTTTATATCAACTCGGATTTTTTATAAATCTAACGTCCAGGTACTAATCTCCTTTCTCTTCTAAAAACTATTTGATTCCGAGGGTTGTGTTGGCCGGTGGAGCACTTCATCCGTCTGCGATTTCTGAGATTCTATCCCTTTCTTGCTGGGTTTTCTACTTCATTTGTGATCAACTAATGGTCAAATTCACAACCATTTTCTTTCTATTGATGGGCGCTTCGTCTATCCTTGGAGACCTCGTATTTCTTTTGCTGTTAAGAGACTAGGATTAGTTTTCCCCATTTTCTTGGCATCCAAACGGTGCAATTCCGGTGTCTATCTATTTCAATGTAAATTTTGTTTATCCTGCTTTATAACGCCTTTTTTGGGCCTTAAGATGCGTCTTTCAGGAAATTTTTGGCCCTTTTGTTTAAAAAAAAAAAATAGTGATCCCTCTTATTGTGTTGTTTCATAATCGTCGCATTTGTTTGCTTTATGCTTCAGTTCGTCTTATGACCTTCTTTAATAGAGGCAAATTTATCCTACTTTTTTTAATTGATATATCTAGGGTTTCTTTTTGTTAGAAGAAGATTAATCAATTCGTTGCAAGTCCGCTACGAAATATTGGTTTTTGCTTGTTCGGCTATGTTAACAGTGACTGAATAGTATTGCTTTCTTTTTCAGGAAGAATTTGCTTTCCGTTCAGGTTATATAGGATTGTTGTCTCTTATTTTTCTTTATCAGTTTACCTGCTATCCTTCTGCAATTTCGCTCGGTCGACTTGAAGAAAGAGAATGTTTGGTTTAAGGAAATCTCCCCTAGAACCTGTTAAACATAGTTCTGATGAACCTGTGCGTTCTGTTAAATCGGGATCAAATCCATTTGATTCTGATAATGATGATCCCAAGGAAAACCAAAAATATAATTCCTCGACTAGGACATATTCGGACCCTTCCCTAGTTTTACATGGAGGAAATACTAGTCCCTTTGATGATGATGATGGAGGAGATAGGAACTCTTATGCCCTTCAATCAGCAAACCAAAAAAAATATGGGAATGATTTTCGTGACGCAGGAGGAATAGATATTCAATCCGTGCCAGAATTGGAGAATTATGCTGTTTACAAGGCTGAAGAGACTACAAAATCAGTCAAAAACTGTTTGAAGATAGCAGAGGACATAAGAGAGGATGCTACCAAGACTTTAGTCACTCTAAACCAACAGGGTGAGCAAATTACCAGGTCCCACAATGTTGCAGTTGATATCGACCAAGATCTTAGTCGGGTATTAATCTTGTTTGTCAAGAGTTATTTATTGCAATTCTTTCACTATTCCTTGGAAAACGTTCTGTTGCTTCTTTTGTCATGAAGCCCTCCACAAAGAACATGCAATTTGTATTATTGACTAAAAATGACTAAGATTGTGAATGTCTTAATTCTGCTTACAGGGAGAAAAGCTTTTGGGAAGTCTTGGTGGCATCTTCTCCAAAACTTGGAAACCAAAGAAGACACGACTAATTACAGGCCCTTTTATTGTTGGAGGTTAATATTTTTTTTGTCTTCTCGTGTTCATATGTTCTCCTTATTTATATTTTTTTTTCAGCACTATCATATTTATGATGGACTCCATGATGCAGATGATCAAGTCAGAAGAAAGGGCAACCACTTCGAGCAGAGAGAGAAATTGGGATTGACTTCTGCATCCAGAGGGAAGTTAAACGTCCGGACACCACCTCCTGAGCCAACCAATGCTCTTGAAAAAGTTGAGGTTCGTACTTAATTAGGTGAACAATTATAAAGCTCATTGAAAATTGAAGAGCTGCATTTTTTACTGCCGTTAACAAGGGATTGTCTTGAGGAAGAAATTATGTTCTGGCTTTCTAGTTTCTACTGTAGGTTATACTTAATTTTCAAATCACTATTTCTGTTGAAACCTTTTTATTTATATCTGCATGTAGCTGTTGATTGTATGCGCTATGTTGTTGCAAAAATGCCTTCTAATCCATGGTGTAATGCCCAGTGCGGTAGTTCCAATATTGAAGTTCATCGCACATTGATTATATGAACCAATATAACAACATGCTCAATTAAGACTGATAGCATAAAAGAAAAGCTAACATACTATTGATATCATCAAAACCCAGCTCAACAAGGCATAAATTATAATTTTAACATGTAATTTAATGAGCTGTGACTGTAAAACTCTGTTGAAAGAAATGTTGCCGGCAGTTTTTAATTGAAGGGATCTTTATCAGCAGATTCTTTGTAGGTCTTGGTTATTTGCAATCAGCACAGAAAAAATTGAACTGCTACTCTGAATTGTGTATCATGCAAATGTAAATGAGGCTGGTCTAAAGTTTTTTCCTTATTTTCATGTACTGATTTACATTTTGCAATGCCACTAGGTTTCCATGGCACACCATTTTCTTTCATCGCGTCATGCACCATGCCTTTAATAACTATGATCAATAATTATATTATATATGCCTCAGGTAAGGTTCAGTTTCTCATTTTCTTCAATTTCACACAAAACTTTAGCTTAAGAACAAGGAACTGTAGCTGTTGTTACTTGGAGTTTTCGAAGGTCAAAAGTATAGTTTTTTACTCTCTCATGGCGAATATTAAGAATAAAATAAAAAGGTTGGATTGACTATTTTGTGTGAATGTGTCAGCGCACCAGATTACAATGTTTTATAGAATTTGGCTACTAAATAATATGTTGTCCTGAACAGATTGAGAAGGGGAAACAAGATGATGCACTGTCAGATTTAAGCGATCTTTTGGGAGAGCTGAAAGATATGGCTATTGACATGGGATCTGAAATTGAGAGGTTAGTTTACTTAGTTAATTGGTTCTCTAATTTCAACTTAAAGTGATTCTTGGGCTCTAGATTCTAATCATCGCCCTTTCTTCCCCCATCATGTATCATTAACCAAGGAAGTGGAAGCGATAGCTTGATAATTGGGATGTGTTATGGACTTTTTCTTGAGATAAGCTGACTGTGTAGTTATTCGGAAGTACTTCATGTGTTCAAGTGTACATAACTAACAGAGATTTTGGTAAAATTTCAGCCACAACAAAGCGCTGGACCATATGTACAATGATGTGGACGAGTTGAATTACCGCGTCAAAGGAGCTAACCAACGTGGTCGTCGCTTACTGGGAAAATAAAGAATGCGGGGTCTCATTATTTGCATTGAATCATTGATATTGCTTTCCCGGCTGTCCTTCCCCCTTTCATGGTTGCTCTTTCATTTATCTACAGCACTCCCTAGAAGTTGATTCATTCTGTTACACAGATCATGTTAAACGGAAGTAACCATGAAAGTAAAATGACATGGATATCTAGTAGCACTTCATTTATTTGATAGTATTTGGGATTTAATCAATCACCCCAGAATCGTCTTGCAACTTTCCTTCCATAGAATGTTATAAAACACTGGTCACCCTCCCACTAAAGTCAAAAGTACAAAAAAAAAAAAAAAGCAACTGATTTGCCATTCAAACAAATCATATTTAAATTAATATTTTTTTTCGTTTAACGGTATAAGATATTTTTAATTAAATTTAACTTTTAATAAAATAATTATGTATTTTTAAATTAATTTTATTTTTTTATATTTATTCTCATTAAATATTTTATAATAAATATAAGTTTACAATTAATAGAGACATTAAAAAAAAAATAATAATTATACTTTAAAAGATTAAATATATTTTATATTTTTAAACATTTAACTTCTTAAAAATGTTTTATATTTTTAAACAGAGAGAGAGTATATTTTAATTATATATTAATAATCGTTATTTCAAATAAAAAAGATCAAATACAGTAAAAACGTGTAAACATTATTTTTTTGTCAACAGGGTACAGACAATAATAACATTTTGGCAAATGCATTGGTCTTTTGACTGTTTATAATTCTCTAATTTTATAAAATATTTTTTAAATTTTCTAATTTTCACCACGTTAGTTTCAAGTGATGATTTATTTCATCAATTATTATTATTATTTTTAAAAAAATAAATTTAATATATCAATATTTAAAAAGTTTTATTAACATTTAAAATTTAATATCTTCATTTTTTTTCATGAAATATTAGAGTATTGAAAAAATATTTTATAAAATCAAGATTCAAAGAAGAGTGTGGATTTAAAAAATCAATTTTATAAAATCAACATTTAAAATATTTTATTAATTAAAAAAATTTTAAAAATAATTTTACAACCTAATAAAAATCTTATGATTGAAAGAAGCGCCGCCGTGGATTGAAGTTGATCACTGGACAGGCAGAGGAGGCGAGATAGAGGAGCATGAATGAAGAAAGAAGAGTGTGGGCAAATGTTTCAGCTTGCTGATACGATATGCAGCCACTAACTTTTCAATTTTGCATGCTTAATAGCCCCCTAAATTCTTCCCTTGCCACTCCTCGATAACACCAGAAGAAACCAGTTAAGCGCCACATACAACACAATGGACGACTGGCCCTCACACTGTAAGCTGCCGTCTATTGGCTATATTCAACAGTGCAATGGAGGATTCGATATGCCCATTCGATCGTGAAATCAGAAACCTCCCATTTTCAACATCCATTCTACGCAGCTCAAAAATACTCTCTACATCAGGCGAACAGGAAATGTAGCCATTCAACAGACTGAGATTTTATTCAATCCGTAACCAAACGAAATGCTCACTTTGAACCCAACCTGCTTGGCTCCTACCATTTACCAAGCCTTGAATTTAATCAGTCAGAAAATTGAAACCCACAATCTCAGAACAAAATGAAACAGAAAACTAAAACCTTATAGCCAAAGTTAAGAACAAGCGTATAAAACCAAGCCACAGAAATCAATTATTATACACGAATCCGCCTCTCAGAAACCCTAATCTTGAATAGGAAGGAGAAACCCTAATCTTGAACCAAAAAATGGAGAGCAAGAAGAGTGGTGAATCATAGCTTCAAGTCCATGACACTCTTGATGTCAGGGGCGTAAAGCGAGTACACGATAGCCTGCCTCTTTGCAATCTCGAGCTGAGCCTTGCCATCGGAATAGGCGGAAACAATGGAAGCTTGTTCGGTGAGGCTCTGGTTGTGGCGAAAGGCGTCAAGGGTTCGACGCTTGGTGTATTCCCTGATGTTGTAATCGGAGAACTGGCGAGCCGTGCGGAGGAGAGAGCGGAGGAGAGAAAGCACTTGTGCTCTTGACGGAACATTCGCGGATAAACTCGCAGAAGCCATTTCCCCAAACTCACCAGGCTCCGTTCTGGGCCAATGGTTTTACAGTTTTACTCTAACCACAGCGTTCCAACCCTTGCCATTTCCAGTATTTCCGTTTATATTCGGAGTCAAAGGGCGCGTTTGGAATGAAAGAAATGTTGTGAAAATGGAATGAGAATGGTCTATGACAGTTACGTACTGTCCGTTTAAAAATATAAAATATTTTTAATTAAATCTTAATTTTAATAAAATAATTATTTATATTTAAATTAACTCTATATTTTTATGCTTACCTTTATTAAATTTAATAAATATAAAATTATTTATTAATAAAAGTATTTTTTTAAAAAATAATGATTACATTTTAGAAAACTAAAAATATCTTATGTTTTTAAACATTGAACTCTTTAAAAATATCTTATATTTTTTATTATTTAATTCTTTAAAAAATACCTTATATTTTTTAATGGAGTATATATATATATATATACACAAATAATTGTAGATCATTTACATTTGCTTTGTATTATTTTACAGTAGGTAAATGATTTGATTTGATGAAGTAGTTTTTATTTTATTTTTAATGAGAAAACTTTTGTGGTTGTAACTATTTGCTTTTAAATTTGAGCAGGAAAAAAAAATCTAAACCAAAGCATCCACGGTCTAAATTTGTGGGAACTTATGATATATACTTCCCATTATTATTATTATTATTATTATTATTATTATTATTATTATTATTATTATTATTATTATTATGCCAACATATAAAGTAGAGATAAAAATATTTTTTGTCTTATTTATAAGGATGTTATTATTTTTTATCATACATTCTCTTACTTACCCTGATTAAATATTGATGAAAAAATATATTAATGAAAATATATATATATATATATTTAATATGAACAAAGTATATTGAAAAATTATTAGCACACAAATGATGGAGAGATGAATGGAATCAATTGTTAATCTTTTGCAACACATACGCAAAAGGAAACATGTGCCATACTGCCCAGAGATTAACCCAATTGTTACTCCACTTGATCTTGTCTTTATTGAATGCGCAAACTAGATCCAATTTTTCACCCTATCATCTCTTGCCATCCACTTCTCCGGTTCTTAACTTCTTATTATATGGAATCATGTACGGTATTACTTTTTTTCCACCCAGTTTCCAAACTAATTATGAAACTTTCTAACTAATTAAAGAAATCCTCTAACTAATAGTGACTTTTATTAAGGGTAATGTTAACATTTTACAAAGAATAATTAATTTCAACTAACTTGATTGATCACTTAAAACTGTTGATAAATACTCATAGATTGGATGAAATATAATGCAACATACCACTTGCATGCGTCATTATTTTATACTCTCTGCGGTCCTAAATGTAGGAAATAATTAATTAATTCCTATAGATTAAAGAAGTTTGGTGAATTAGTCATTTGTGAAAAAAAAAAGTCATAATTTTCCTAAAATACGCCTATGTAAAATACATGGCTGCGTTTGAATTATTGCTATGCTTTATTATTGTTAAGGAGTATCAACAAGGGTAGCTGAAAAAGTAATAAATATAATATATAAATTTAACTGAGGTCTTATATTCAGGAGAAGAAGTATATAGTCATATTCTTTCAGACTTGACCAAAACTAGTCTCATTGTCTCCTGAATTCACGATCATGGGTGGGTTTTCATTTGGTTTTCTTGAATTCAATCTATTGATTTGGAACACAAACTATGTTCCCTCCAGCCTGTAAGCTGCAAATTGTACCCTTCCCTCCCTCCCAAGGGAATAAGGCAATCTATTAAAAAAAACATAAAACAAAAAAGTGTCTTTTTTTTTTTTTTTAATTTTGTTTTTGTTGGGGGAAGACTGGAAGTTAAGAAAGAACGACACGAGGAAGCTCAAAAATGGGTGGCAAGTTGATTGTTGAGGTTAAGTGCATGTGGGTGTGGATGTGTTTTTGACAGAAACAGAGATATCCTTTACGTCGTTTACAGGCAGAGGCAGCTTGTGACGCTGATTTTACTTTGCTTGTATGCATTTTCTGTTCAGAAACTTTCATCCTTTAGAATCACTTTCAAGTTTCAACGATATATATATTTTTATATATATAGCATCCGATTCTGTTCATCTTCACAATCTTTCAAAGTTAATCACAAGTTTAGGGCGGCAAATTGGTAACAACAGACATTTCAATTCCAAGTGATGGAAAGCAGGCTCAAGCGAAGAAGGTATTCCAGGCCAGTTTCCAAACTGGGATTGTTCATCCTTTCAATTTTAACCTCTTTTTTTGTTGGCCGTCTGAATTTTAGCCTTAATCGACACTCTTGGCATTATAGCATCATTGTGACCTGTTTTTATAGTAGCTTGATAATATAGTGCATAAAAATTATATTTATTTCCTTTTCTCTTAAATAATACCTATAAAAGTATTAATGGACTATCCAATAATATATCTTTATATTTAAGTTACAGGCTAAATCTTTATCAATTCAATCAATCTTTGTTGGCATACTGTTTTAATATTTAGGCAACAATTTTTGGTAAGATTTAAATATATTGTAAACTTTTAAAAAGCATTAAGTCACTGAAAATAGTGAGTTTTTCTCACCAGAATTTATTGCCTTTTAATAAATAAGATATTTTCTCTCATGGCAAGTAAAGGAGAATAAACAAGTTGGTTTTTTTTTTTTTGGGGTTTACCAAAATTTGGTCATATTTGTAATATTTACATCTCATCAAATATATGAAAAATATTAAAGAAATAAAAATAAAATAACAAAGAGTACAACAAAATGTATGAAAGAAGTTGAAAAAGAAAAGGTTATACTGGCTTTTGAGTTTAAGAAGAGTTATGCCGTTCATAAATTATATGGAGTTTTTGGTTATTGTGCAACAGTGGGACATATTTTGAGGGATGTGGATATGGAGTCGGAGATGAGGAGCATGCAACTGCAATTGCTGCTACAGCATTTGCCATTTATTCACTGCATCTCAGCAACTTGAGAGAGCTTCCCATTTCTTCATCCAAAACTATCACCACCAGACAAGATTCAACCCCAAATTTAACTCGCGGTAATTATTTGTCAACCTTTCCTCATTTTGCTGATACACACACACAGATAGGTACAAGTAACGTGTTTGGCTGGCTGTCTATCTGTCTTTCTAGCAAGAGAACATGCTTTCCCCGTGAGACCCTCTCCTCAGAATCAGAGGACTCCAATTCCAGCACGCCCCAATGATTTCAAAACAAGAGCTGATGTTTGGGAAAAGGCCAACATGCAAAAGATTCACGGACGGTATGTATTACAATTGGCTTAACCACTTGATTTGGGAAATCAAGTGTTAGTTGACATAATTGCTTTAACATGATATATGGGAACAGAATCTAAATATACTTTCCCCTTGCAATTGTGAGAAAATATCTCCAGGTATGAGAAGATAAAGTCCAAAATTCTTTCCTGGGAGACTGAGCAGAAGATGCAGGCGAAACTTCAGTTGGAGAGGAAGGTTTGTCTCGAATCATGCAAATCTATTACGGTTTAACATGTTGTGAATATCATCATCGTTTCATGGTTTATGGAACTCAGAATTTGATGGAGCACACAAGGGCAATAGAACAACAACGGTACCAGAACAAGATAGCAAGGATTGATATGATAGCACGAACAGCTAGAGCGCAGTTAGAAGACAAGAGAAGGAAAGAAGAGTCTCAGGTCAGAGAAACAGCAAAACAAATCAGGGAAACAGGCAGGGTCCCCATCAAATGTTTTTGCTGCTTCATCTTTTAATCAGAATAAAAATATTTAGTCTTTGGATATGTATATGCTGCTTTCACCTTGCTTACTATTCTGGATACAGAAATTTAATAGATAGGGAGAACGACAGAGAAGTTCCAAAAGAACTAATTAACTCAAATTAGGTTCTAAGTGTCAAAATTTAAAAATTTGCAACTCAATCTCTCAATTTTGTAATTCCATTATGATAAATTTATAACTTGTATTTTAAAGTTTAACAGGAAAAATAAATTTTTTTTATCTTTCAACCATGTTAAAATTTAAAAAATAAGTTAAAAAATTCATCACAATCCAATTATAAATTTGAAAGATTGAGTTGCAAATTTCTAAAATTTGACATTTAAAACCTAATTTAAATTAATTGATCCTTTTGAGACCTCTTTGTCACTCTCCCTAATAGATATGTGCTCAACAAAGATTGAATATGTAATGACATCATAGTGTGCTGCTCAAATTGTTCATATTGCAATATACTTCACTTTCAAGATATTCCAGATTACTAGCCTCATCTTGTTGCTTGTTATATGCTATATATACATACACAAATATAGGTGATGTAATTACAAGCTACTTAAAATGTTTTGATTGTAAGTCATGTATTATTTGAACAAGGATACCATTAGTCTAGATATCTCATACGAGGTTTTGACTGCTAAAATTATCCTCAACCTTGCGTTGGAACAGAAAAATTATGCTAAGCCATTTAAAACGCCAATTTAACATCTACAGAATGTCAGGGAGCTCTTAACAGATAATTCTAATTAGCAATGCCTCATGCAACTTATTTCCTTCAAATTCAATAACAGCTTAATTATTATATAATTGTATGTGTCAAACTTGACTTTCTTTCCTGTCCTTCTTTTCAGTGTTTCACCTTCTTTTTGGCTTTTGTTTCCAGTGAAAATTTGCCTTGATTCCTCAAAAATCAGTGCACAATATTAAAAAGGTTTCACAGAAGACAAAGTCTAATAATATAACTAATCCTTATCACATCTTTACAACAACAGCAGCAGCAGTCTTATTCTACCAGGTGGGGTTGGCAATATAGATTATTTGATGCCATTGTACTCTAATAATATAACTAATCCTTATCACCCCTGTAACTTAATCATATACGTGACGCCCTAAGTACAAGAGACCTCACCTAGTGTGTTTGAACATGTCAAAATGTCTCTCATCCCAAAGATATAATCCCCCCAAGACAAATTTTCATGGGACGATTATCATAAGCATCCACAACTGTTCAATACACACACAAGTTAGAAATGACTTTTCAGTGTTAAAAAAAATATGTCGAGAATGCTAACGCATGTACCACCAACAAAATCTCCTCAATTTCCAAACGTTAACAATTAACATTTCAAGGGAAATACATGAAACAACATCAACAATCCGAGCTTAATCAATCCACAATACTCACAGTTGCGTTTCAAAAAGCTTAAGACTGAAGTCACTACTTTCTGAACCGTGCACATCCTTCTTGTATTATTCTCTCACATAAATTTATCATTCTATACATCAAAGTTATATTTTCAACATGCGGCAAACCTCAGGTAACACTATTTGTTCTTATTTACGTGGGTGTGGCCTCCATCCGAGAAGAATCAAGAGATATTACAGTCTCAAATGCACCAACCAAAGCCTTGACCTTGCTCTGTCTGAGCTCAGCAAGCTTGGTTGCGGTCTCCTCAATCACATTATTGTATAAACGCCGGGTAACTTGCTTCCCAAGCAAATTTTGGCGTCTTAAAACAACTTGCTGAGGTTCTGACGCTGAACCATCAATCTTGCTTCCATCTACAACTGTTCTCCCAAAATTTCTCCTTTCACTTCTTTCCACAATTTGGACCCTGGGCAAAACATTTCCAGATTTTGTTTTTGCATCATTTGATTCACCTTTGTCGGCTTCTCTCCATCTCCTGATCCATTTTCTGTTTTCAATTTTTTCTCTTTCAGTGTCACTAAGCAAGCGTGAAGGCCGAAATTTGAGTCTTTGAGGAGAAGGAACATTGTTCTTAGGCTTAAGTTCAATCACCTTTCCCCTCCTGAAACTCAATTTACGGGCTGGAATAACTCCATCTCCTGCTCCACTTTTTGCACTCATCTTTCGCCTGATTTTGAACCTAACCTTCATATTTTCACCTGGATACTGGTTTCCTGCTTTGTTGCTCTTAGAAGCGGCACCATTTTGTTTTCCAAGGGAAGAGTTGGGTGGGGAAATAGGTAATTTTGTTGCTGATGGCGATGATGAAGATGATGAAACAGTAAGTACTGTACATTGCATTCGTCTCTTGACTTTGATCCCAGAAGGCATAGGAGAGGGTTTCATAGATGTACTTAGACGGGTTCCATTGTCAGCATGTTGGAAGTTCCTCCTTGAAAATTGTAATCGTGACAATGAAGATGGAGATGGTGAAGTATTATGCATTGTATTCTGTGTCTGTCTATTGGTTTTGATCCCCGAAGCAGCAGGAAAAGAAGCTGGAGATTTAGTTTGACGATTTCCTTGGTCACCATGTCCAAGGTTCCTCCTTGAAGATGCTGATTGTGACAGTGGTGATAGAGATGATGAGGCAATGATTGTTTTCTGCTGGCGTTTCTTGTCTTTAATCCCAGGAGATTGAGGAGAGGGTGCTGGAGATTTAGTTCGATGAATTCCATAGTTAGCATGTCCAATGCTCTTCTTTGAAGAGACAGGCAATCCACACTCATTGATTTGCTCAGAATCTCGCTCCAAGCTTCTGTCCCCCAATGATGGTGAGACCAAAGACTGGTTAGTGGGATCACAAGCCAAAGTAGGTTCCGTAGATTCCTCATCAGGGGTAGGTTTGTCCACATCAAAAAATTTTTCTTGTAAATTATCATTGTTGGTTGACTCAAGTTTGACTTCTTCAACATTCTTCTGAATTTTTAGATTAGCCACTTCTTTCAGGTTCTTGGCAGTCTTAGAAGTTGTGTTTGAAGATTTCTTTACATAGTGCTTTGAAGATAAAGGGCTACCAGTTGGCACTGATCTCCTCTTACCACCAACTGGAGATGTCCTTATCTGTTTGCTTCTGCCTTCACTTATATTCTTACTGCCACAACCAAAAGGAGTTTTGCTTTTCTCTACTTCCCTACTCGTTTGACTACTAGAAGATTCCTGCTCTGGCAGAGAAGGTTGCTCTGATTGTTCTTTCTTTATATCACAGGGATGATGGTCCATGGAAACATTGGTTTCCACCAGAGACAGCAAAGTTTTATCTGAAGGGATAGTAGTTCCATCCTTTGGCAATTGATCCTTCATGACAATAGAACAATCAGGCATTTCCAACTTTGATGTTGGGGAATCATTTAAACTGCTTGTTGATTTCTTCATCCTTGCCACAGAAATAACGATTTCTTCTGAAACATTGATTTTCCTACCACTTGCCATAAATTTTTTCCCTGCTGCACTCCATGGCTTAGCTTCAACAGAATCTTGGATGCCATATTTGCAAGAATCATGGCAGGAAGGGATCCGACCACTTAGATAACGAGAAAGAATCTTGGGTTCACCTTTTATAACAACCAGCCTCTCATCAGTGTTTGCTACTATCTCATGCCCATTTTCAACCCCAAGTTTCTCACGATTGATTTGGATATCAATACCTTCTTCCATCATTACTGGTCAGGATGAAGTTACTTCAGTCCCCTGCAACGAATGATAATCTTCTTAAAGATGTTAAAAAAAAGGGGAGGGGGAGAATTCTAGTCAGAGAAACATGAGATCACAGCTTCTTTTGTTATTTAATTTCACATCCAAGGTCAATGTTCATTGAGGAGCAAAGGAGTCCGGTCCATTGGCATGGTGCGAAGTTCCTATTTCAATCTTGAGCCAAACCATTTATAATAAAGGTAGATATGGGGAAGAGGGAGGTAAAACTAGGTTCTCTTGACACATTGTGGGTGAGAATGCTTGTTCCGTGGCCTAAAAAAGTTCAAAGAGGATAATTCAGGTGTAGCATGTGTAATGGTTAATCTCCTTCAATATTCACATCCAGTCTATTGCGAAACTCCGGCGAAACATAAACACTAGACAACGATACGTATAAAGAGAGAGAAAAAAATAATAATAAAGTGAGACAACCAGGATAACTTTACCCAGATTACAAAAAGATTGATAATATCCTGGAAGCACACTTTTCTTGGCAAAGAATATCAAATGCATTGCATGTCAATCCAATTAACTACGAAACAAGGACACAGCTCAAGATATGATATATTTTTTCGTGAATATCAAAATTTCAATGGAAAAGGAATGGAAATAAATTCCACAGTTGATGACAAAATGAAATACAAGGTTAATGTCATTATCAAATAATTGCAGATGGGGGACTTTGTAAGAAAATCCAAAATAGAATAAAGACTCGTTCGTATGAAGCTAGTAAGCTAACAAATACGATACAGATACCTCCAAATACACCCTAAAGGAACAGTACACCACGACAATCAGTTCCAAGTTCAGACAAAACGGCTGCAACGAATCGGAAGGGAAAGAAGATGTTGATTACAAAAAACAAACACTGGAGAAGAACCGATTTCTAGAAGGTAGTCAAAGTTAAATTTCACCCGTGAAAAAATATGATCTCGGAAGATCAAGAGACCCCGGAACATAAGAGAACGAGTCTTTGAATTAGCCAATAAAATTCAAAATTATAATCAAGAGAAGAAACAAATAAACATTCCCAAATCGAAAAATTAAAGTCCGATTGAAATCGACCATCATATAGTCTGTCCAACTCCAAGCAGAAACAACGTTTGTGGCGCGAAACAATCAGGAAAAAAGAGAGAGTGAAGGAGCGATACCTTGTTTTTGGGATTGCTCCTTCAAAAGAAAGAAAGAAGCAAATAACGAGGGTGTGGGCGATTGGCAGTCCGAGAAATGGTTGGACGGAATTCAAAACTCAAAAGGGGCAATTCATTAGTTGGGTTGATCGTTGACTCGGAGCCAAAACACGTTTGATGCAACAAAGTAACCAACTGGCCAGCGAGAAAGAGAGAGACCCACAGGGAAAAATAATAACAGTCTGTCTAGAGAATCATGTCCCAACCATGCAATATGATTGCAAAGGCATCGCCACACTGGACCAGGGAAGAAGGAGGCACGTCAACGTCAACTTCCATGTCCATCCTCCTTCCCACCTCACCTTTTTCTCTTCTTCTTTGGCTTCTTTTTTCTGCCATTAACTTTCCAAGTTACCTTCGTAAGCCATTGGCCAGCGAAGCCACCATTGGCTCCAAATCACATGCACTTCATATTGTTAAAATAGGTAGCCGATCATTCTCTTTCTTGCTCACTGGGCCTTGACCATCCTCCTTATTTTGCTACAATTGAAATTTTAATAATTTATACAAATATGAGTAGGTTCACCATCCTGAAAGTTTTTCGGCCGATCACAAACAATAGGGTCCTTCACTTGTTATTATAATTTTAAAAGGACTGATTGTTCAAATATTTTCACTCTTTTATGAAACTTTTTTTTTTAGGTAAAGCAAAGGGGGCCATAGCCCAAAATAGTAAAACTTCTCCTCCTTTTATCGTTGTAAATATTAAATAACTTTACTTTCACAGATAAATTATATTAGGAAAAAGAATTTTTATTATAGAATCCATCAACTTTTTTGTCAAACATGTTTAACAGTTTCATTGTGCCAAGAGCCTATCATCATTCATATTTATACTATTCATTGTATACTAAGCTGATTTTCAATTAAATTAAAATATATAAATTTTTATAAATTATTTATTTATAATAAATTTTTATTATCAATGTAATTGAAATATTAAAATTAAATTTTCATGATTTAATTGAGTATAAATATATTAAGTATATAAAATTAAATACATAGGCCTTATTCTTTATATTATGTATATTGATAAAATATTCTTCTATTCCTTGTTTTATATACATATATATATATATATATATATATGAACATATGATAAAACAAGAAACAAAAGAATATATATAGGATTAATTCGCGAGCAGGGAAGGAGTTTGGGCACACAGTCGACACTAGTTAGGTAGTTTTTTGGGTAAAGAAATAAACAGGAGATGCATTAGAATGGGCTGTTTTTTTTTCCCCCTTTTTTGACTTCCCAAACATGACATTAATCTCTCAAAAAATTTGAATTTCATTTAAGGAGTTATCCTTTTTCAATTGATGCTCTCTATACATGTAATGACCTTAGTCACTACTCCCAATACCACACAAAATAATACAATGTCATGTTTAGGCTCGCCTTTGTGACATTTAGACTTATTAATTACAATGATTAAGATTTTTTTCTCTTGTTATGCACAACTTAGAATAAGAGAATACATTTATCACATACAAGGATACTTCCTTGCCTTAGCCCCTAGCTACCATTGTGGCCAACAACTCAACTCGCCTTTGTGAAAAGCCTCTTACTCGCCTAGGCCTGTGCTCCATTCACCTAGGCAAATAGCTTGTCTTACAGTGTTCAGTTTTGACCAATTGCAGTAATTTTAGATAAAATACAAATTGTATCAAAAAGGTTTTTGTAACATCCTAAGTTTTAAATTTGAAATTTAATGGTTAATTAAGGGTGAATTAGTAATTAATCCAAAATTAATGGATTAATTAAGTTAACCATGTTTTGGAGTTGCTAATTGACATTATAGATCATTGCATGGCTCCAAGAAAGGGCTAGAGTCCAAGTTAGGTTAGATCGGGATAGGACGGCATGATAATGCACAGCTTTGCAAATTTAAGTTGTGAAAATTAGCAAAAAAAATAGATGGAATATGGGGAAAACCTAGGGCATAAGGGAGAATCATGAAGACTCTACTAGGGCTTGGATTTGGCCAAGGTTAGAGGCTTGTTTGGACCTTCAATCATCTAGGCAAGTTTACGAATAATCTTCTCTACCTATCTACCTTAATTTTCTTAGATTTTAAAGAAAGGTTAGATGGGTTCTAAGTTTGAAAGGGATCACATTCGAACCCTCGATCTTGTTTGTCATTGTGAGAGTTTGATTTAAGATTCATTGAGTTGAATAAATGTTAACATGAAGATTTGGGTGGTGGATTAGAAGGGTTGAATGAACCCTAGCCATAATTTGAGAGTTTTGATATTGTAGGAGATGAGTAAGGGTACAAAATTAACTTGTTATTACTAAATGAAAATATTATGAGTAATTGTATCTTTGAATAGCTTAACGATAGAAGTTAGGGATTTTTGAATAGCTAAATTTTAAAATTTAGCTTAAGGATACTTATATTATGTTTGAAAGCTAAGATATAAAGTATACATTGTAGATTTTGGTAGTTGAGACCTCCTTGAAATTAAGGAAGTGATAAGAGTACACGTGAATCACGAGTAGCCCTTTTAACAACAAAATGGTTAAGATAACTGAATAGTTTATAGTATTTGCTAATTGTTTTAAGCATGTACAAGTAGTTACATGTGTATAATATAATATTATATTCATATAAACGTGTTTTATGTAATTATAAACATAATTGAGATAAAACATAGTTGTATATTAGTAGACATTTACAAAGGGCATGAGCATATGCATGTGATAAGTGTATGAAAGAAGTGGCGATTAATATCCTTATATGTGGTGATTTGCATGCATGGCTTTGTGGTGAATTATTTATACATATGGTACCTTAGGACACTATTGTGTAGAAAAGTGGTGAAATAGTAGTGAAAAATCCAATAGTACTGCTACAACCTTAGGAAACCAGGTGTGACGAATATTTAAGACTATTACCATGAGTAACCCGAGCAGTCATCTCAGGCACTCCTTAGTACCTATAAAGATATAGTATTAGAGTTAATGACACCCTATCTACTTATAGTAAGGAAAAATTCATAGTTCTGAAGTGAGATAGAATACCTTGACCTAGTGGTTCACCTACTGAAGATTAAGCTAGGATGAAATCTCTTAGGAGATAGTCAGGGTTGCCTATAAATTTAGTCAGGGAGCAATGGAAGTTCAAATGGAATTTCTTATCTATACATGCCATATGTCAATGGTGAATTGTAATATGTTGTTTGTGCACGAGGATAGTTATTATATGATTATTTTTTATTACTTTACCTGTTAATCAATAGTATAGAATATTTGATTATTAAGACATTGTCTTACCCTATTGATTTACATTTTTACAAGTTTCAAGATTAAGAAGAGACAAGGAAAAGAGATGGGCCAGGAGTAGCTTGTCCACTTTCTTTGTAATGCCTTATGTTTTTATTATAAATAATGATGTATATAAGTTGAGTTGTCAATTTAGGAGATTGCATATTTTGGAACCAAAAACAGAAAGGAGAGGTATATTTCCATTGCATTACACCAGACCAATTAAAATATATTCAAATCATCATTTTTACACTTGCACTAGTATTTTAGCCCTACCAGCATATATTTAATCATACACAAATACTCAAGACCCAAAATATAACTCAAACAATTACATAACAAAATAGTGCAAGTGTGAGGGCATACAACCTAGAATTGACAATCATATATTATTACACAAAATAAATATAAACTAGAGGCATATCATAGGAATGTACTAACTCCTAACCTCTTGAGCCTTCTCTCTTTCAGCACCAAAGCTAGAGCCTGAAAAGTGTTAAAGAAGAGGGGTAAATTAAGCCACTTAGTAATTAAGGTAAAACCTACCATATACAGTTATATATTAATTGTAAATCAAACACATACATATGAAACCAAGTATTTAAAACATGCTTTAACACATGCCAACACTTATCAATTCAATTAGCAAGTTTCATCCCACACATGCTGGGTACATAATCACAAGACACTCACGCATGAGATCATGACCCGCTATAACCTGCGACTTGCCACAACTCAAAAACATGTGACACATCATATATTTACATAGGTAATGATCAACCAACCTTATACTCTCTTTATTTTTTCAGACTAAAATTATGGTTTATAACATTGAATAGGACTCTGTTCATGTGACTGAACTACCCAAGCTCACCAATCGTGAGGTGTGACCTGACCAAAGATCACATGACTCACTCTCAGACCACAGTTTCCTCCATTCTTGAATTTATGAGGTGTCTCATACCCTAAGTTATTCTCCTCATTGAATTGATGGAGAAAGCTAGGTTCTAGTCCTTCGACAAATAATGAGATAGTCCCTCGATAAAATTATAGGAAAAGGCTATAACCCTGTACATCGGAGGGCAGCCTAAATATCATATAAATTTTTCTCTACTCCCAATCTATATGTGAATTCCTGCCAAATAATCATACCATAAATGATATTCACTCATTTTTACATTCTTATTTACTCAATATCAAAGTCAACATGTTGGGCTCATGATCATGTGCTACCCAAGTGAGCATCCAATAACATTTCACCACATTCTCCTCACTTATCACATAATCCATTTCTTCAACTACACACATTTACCTTAACACCACATCATATTCATCTTCCCAAAGATATATGCATGTTCATAGTTCAAAAACCATCTTGATTTCATATTTTGCATTTCAGACCAAAAATAACATTTTGCATATTCCAATTTTTGTACACTTATTAAAGCTAATACATACTTTCACATTAAAAATCAATCTATGCATGTAACATTCACAGCTAGAAAATAATTTACAATTAATTAACATATAATTACATTGATTGATTATATTGCTTAACTGTTTATGAGTAGATATGTTAATTTAAACTTGAGATTTGATAACTTTGCGTATTTCAAAATGTGGTTTTGTGCATGAAAAACTATTTGTGAATAATGAGAATGATAAAAATTTTATATGACCTGATTGAGAAAATTTGAAGTGTATATGTGTTATATACGATGAGTGTGAGTATAATCATGTTAGAGGGTAGAAGTTCACCCGTAAGAAGAAGTAGTAAAAGTCCATATGGCATGTACATCCTTAGTATCTAATGATGCACGGTGTTGGAGATTTTTTTCTTAGTATTCATGCGGGATATGGCGTTGGAAAGTGACGCTTCTTAGCATCAATGATACGGTATTGGAGTAATAAAACCTCAATTCATGTGTGATAGGGGGAGATCATAATCTGAAAGTGGGATAGGATATCTTTGGCTAGGTAATCATACCACTGAAGGTAAGCTCAGACCATTATAGATGTGCACTTAGTTCAAGAGTCTATAGTTTTAATGGGGGTGATATAGACGCTCGGAGGGTAGAATGATCATATTAGCAGTAAAAAATTTATATTGATGAAAAGAGTATATGGTGATATTCTAAAAGTAAGTTTTTAGAGTTTTATAGTTTTACTCTCTTATGGTTTTTCATGTTAATTAATAGTAGTGAATTATTTTGTTACTGAGATATTCATCTCACCTTGTGGTTATATTTTATAGGTGAGGGCTCTGAAAGGAAGGGACAAGTGAAGAGTAAAGTGCATAGTTGTATAGCTCTTCCCTTTCCTCTTTTTGGATATTGTAACAAATATTGTCAATATATAATGCCAACTTAAAAACATGACATTATTTTAGATATCACTTGTATAAATTTGTGATAAGTGTGTGTATCTTGGTTCAAGGTTGATGTTGTGAATTAAGTAAGTGTGCTTGGTCAAGTTACAATTACAAGTGATAAATTTTAAGTGAGTTATGTGCCAAAATGACCAAGTAGATTTGTGTGTTAAATTTTATCCACCCCTTTATGTTATTGTCAAATAGGGTTTAATGGTCATTTTGAGTGTGATCGCTTATTTGCGTAATATGAATGAATTCTCATATTTTGTATGGTCTATTTGAGGTAGTCAAAGTGTCTCTAGAGCTAATGGCATTTGGCATTGTGAGTTAGACACCTTTATGTGTGTTTTGAAGTGAAAACAAATTATTTTGGGTTTGAGTGTCTATCTTTTAAATGAATGATTGTGTGAGTGTGAGACCGGTGTCATTAGTTAAAGGGCTCAAAGAGCTTCGTGTAGATACTTGAACTACCTAAATTAAAAGTCGGATGGCAAAACGATGTGCTCTGAAAGTTCAAAGAGCTGTCATGACAGTAGGTACTCGTCACAACGCAAGTGGCTTTCGAGGAACTCGTCCCTTTATGCCATCCTCCACAGTAGGTGTAGCTTATGTCACGGTGGACAAACCAAAATTGTTGAAAAGTGACTTGTTTTAGCCTAATTTGACGTGGTTTGAGTTCCATACTTTTGTATTTGGTCTTAATTGATTTTTAACTATAATTTGAGCTCAAACAATATTTTAAAAAAGGGTTTTTTTGAGATTCTATTATCTCAACTTATTATCTTTTAAACCCTTGGGTTATGATAATTCCTTTTTGAAATTTAACTATTCATAATTATCACAACGGTGTGTAAAAGTATTATTTTGATAATGTCAAGGCGGACATTACACCCTGCACCTCGAATCTATATCTTGCATACTAAGCTTATTACCTTACACACCATAAAGGTACAAATTTCATAAAAATATAACATATTATCTTGAAAGTGATGGTTTACAAGAAAATAATAATATGGACAATGGATTATTCAAACTATAAGCATGTAAATTACATGGCATTCTTTAAGGTTGACATATAACTTTGTTGTGCAAGGTAGACCTATTGTGCAAGGTTAGCTTAAGATGTAAGGTGATATAGGCTTGAGATGCAAGGTATAAAGTGGCTTGGAGCGTAAAGTTATAGGCTTGGGGTGTAAGGTATTAGAGGTAATATACATTTGATTTTAAAATTGGTCTTAGTCCCTCTAAACAAATTTCCTCCCATTGAGCAATTTTATGACAATTCCCCAATTTTTTTTTGTGGGGATGATAAAAAAAATACATAATCACTGAACTTCAAATTATGTCAAGGGGGAAAAAAACTTCAAAATATATGATATTTTTAACTAATATTTTATAAGAATTTTAAAAAGTAGTTAAAATTGTTTGTATTATTAAATGGTAAAAAAATTATCATTATTCTTAGGATTGCTCCCAATTAAAATCAGTGTCTCTTAATTATCTTTAATTTTTTTATATAATCTCTCTTTAGAATACTATTAATAAAACTATTTTTGAAAAATAAAAATTTAATAGTATTAACTTTTTCAAAGTGTCTTACCACATCTTGAATGGATGCTAATTGGTAAAAAATGTTCTATGTTTTAGACAAGAGGGAGTGTATATAAACAAATAATTGATAGATTTTTTGAAGTGAAATTTTTTATAACATGAGTTAATTTTTTTTACGTGAGTAAACAATAAAACCTCTTTTAAGGTTATAGAAGCAAGACCCGCATCATAATTTTTTTTACAATTAGCAAATTTATTATTATGGCATTATGATATGACATGAGTTGTTAACAGTATTCTGGCCAAAAAAAAAAGTTGTTAACAGTATTTATATTTTATTATATTTTTTATTATAAAAAGAGGGGACACTTTGTTCATGAATGTCTTTTTTGAATTTGGATTATGTTTCCATTCACGACTACAGAAAACTTTTAAAATATAGTTTTATTTAGAATTAGAAGAACATTTTGAAAATCCAACAAACAAGATAGATTGACATGTGCAGGGAAACATTTGTATCATACGAGGCCTATAGATACAAGATTCTATTAATTCTCATACAGTCATGCTAAAGACTTGCGTAACTGTAATGAATATAGAATAAGAAACTTGACGGTGCTAAGAATGTGAAAGCGTAAATTAAAAGTAAAAATGTATCTTTTTTATAAAAAAATAGAGTTTTGTCAACAGCAAAGAACATCTCCCTCAAGGTACTCTGAGCTAAAAATAGACTTTTTCTAACTGAATTACTTCATATATAATAAGTATTGAATTCAAACCATCAACTACTTGTTTAAATAATGTCTTATAACATCAAATTTAGTTGGTTAAAGTAAAAAGGCTTTGCAATATTGTTATGTAATAAGGACTCGGGTGTGAGAAAGAATCAAGGTTCAAAGTTGATGTGCAACAGTGAAAGCGTGTGCGGTGTTTGCAAAGTATGACAGTTATTCTCTAGGGACAATGAATGATCTGATTCTGATCCCTACATATCCTGATAATAATACCAACAACAACAGCAATACCTGTGACGCCCCTTAGTAACGTATACGAGCTTTTATCTTTTTTTTTTTTTAAATGAAACGAGCTTTTATCATATAATATAATAAGATGGACCATTTTGTGCACTTCGAAATGACATGTTTTTGTGAATAGCCTATGCTAATTTAGCTTCTCTACAAAATGAAGTGCAGTCTTTTCATGCTCTGATTTTTGTTTTTGGCCATTGCTTTTCGTGCATTGACAAAAAGTAATAAAATGGATTCAAACCGTGCTTAGTGCTAACAATGAGATAATCTTATCAATGAGTAGTATGTAGTATGTTTGTTAACGGTTTTTGAGTCATCAAGTAAATCTTGATCCTGTAAAATCCTAAGGATCCAACTCACATGAACTTTTTCTTTACCAAAAAAAAAAAAAAAATCAGCCCATCAAATTCACTTAGCTCTGAGAGAAAATGCAGTAAACAAAACCAGGATAAACAATCTTGTGGTATAAAACAAAAATGATGTAAGACCAGCTGCAAAATTCATGAGATATAAGCTGACGGCAAAGTAGACATGAAATTGTGGTAAACATCAGGTGGAAGAGGGTGAGCCTGTGTAGGCAGAGACAGGGTATTTCTTAGCATTCTTCACTAGTTTCGTGAGAGCAGCTTGTCCAAGATCAAGCCCACACACATCAGCAAGACGCACTAAATACAGCAAAACATCCGAAAGCTCTTCCTCCAAATGCTCCTTATCATCATTGGTCCAATTTGGTAATCCCTTCGCCACTTCTCCTTTCCACTGAAATATCTCTGATAGCTCCCCCACCTCTCCCACCTGCACAATCAACACATAATTCTTGGTCATCATTCAGAAAGAAATACCCATCTTCATGTCAGTTTGTGCATGTCAAGGAAAGTGAGTTTAAAGAATCCAGAAAGAAATACTCATGACAAATGAATGGTATTTTCAATGAAATCTTCTCTTTTTCTTCTTTTTTCCTTCGTTTTCCCCTCATCCAAACACACTGTTTGTAAGAGCTTACAGAGGGCTTACAAGAGCTAGAAGGAGATTTCTGGGACTGTGATAGTGATCCCACCCTCTCACTTCAGCAAACTCAGCAAGCCTCTTGCTAAGTTCCTGGAGAGAAACATCTCTTGATGTTTTAGGGAATCTGTGAGAGCACTCCATAATATATCTGCTTATTATGCTTCATCCACAAACTCATGCATGTCCAATTTATAGACAACTTGAGGGGTGAAGGGTAGCGATACAGGGGCAACTAGTGATAACAAAAGATTCGAGATGAGTCTTTTTTTTTTAAAAAAAAAAGTACTTTTCTTCCTTCTATCATTCTTTCTAACTAATATGTGCACTAAAGTGTTATAGTGGAGGAGGCACTTGAGTGTTTTTGCTGTAGGACAATGATCATGTGGGTGTGTCTCTTTTCATTCATGACTTGAAGTCACTCAATAACACCCACCTGAAATATTTTTGGACTATTATAGACATCCAAGTTTAGCCCCACCTTCCCCAAATTTCTTTATCACTCCTTACTGCATACATTAATCTCTGCAGAATCTAGGCGTGCTTTCTTCTCAAGAATCCAACCTTATTCATAGCCTATTGGGATGTATCTTCCTTCCAAGAACTTAACAGAGAAGATTAGCAAAATCTAGCCTAACATTTGGACAAGAATACAAGCACCTAGAGAATTCAATATAGAGAGGGGTGTCAAGTTCGCAGATTAAGTATATTGAATTGAACTTTTAAATCTGAATGTATACCTATAAAGCTGTTTCTAATCAGAAAATTGTGACAGAATATTAAACATATCAACGGAACAGATTTTGTTAGGTAAAACCCCAAGTTTTATCCCGAAACATATCAATAGAACTTGAAACTCTTCGGCTTATGTGTGTTGGGGAAAATAAAGAAGTGTGCTTATGTGGATGTGCTTTGCATGTTGGCATGCACCTAGATGATTGTGCTTGTACTGACGACGTCCCTCCCCTTCACTTCCATCACTCTCGACAGCCAAACTTGATACAATTGGATGAAATGGTTTGCAACTATTCTCTGCTACTTTCCACAATCATAAGGATAGCAGTAAAGTAAAAAGCTTCATGTAAAACCTTTACCCAAGTCCTTATATTGGCCATTCCATCTGTGAGGATCAAATTTAAACTCGATTACAACCAAGCAATATACAGGCTTAAGCCAAGTGGACTGATGTAAGAAAAAGTATTACTTCTCTCATCTTATTTATAAGACACATTTTAAAAACTTTATTTGATTCAATTTTAAGTCATGGTGTGATTTTTTAATTAATATTTAAAAAGTATTTTTAAAATTATCCTTCATGAAAGAAAAAAAATAACATGATATCACTTTTTAAATTTATTATATAAGAGCATATTTAAAATTCTATACATTTTTATTTCTTATACTTTTTTTATATTAGTATTGATGAGATTAGTATAAATAACTTATAAATATGCTAGAGAAGTACTCCCTTCGTTTAAAAATATAAGACATTTTTAATCTTGAGGTATAATTATTGCTTTTTTTAAAAGTGGCCCTATTGAGAATGACTTTATATTTATTGTAGGGTGTTTATTAGGGATAAATATAAAAAGATAGGGTTAATTAAAAAATACATAATTACTTTATTAAAAAATAAAATTTAATTAAAAATACCTTTAAAGTATGTCTTATCTATCTATCTATCTCCACGTCCAAATCCAATTTTAAAGGGAAAACAGTGAGTTGCTTGGGCTACAGGTTAAAGGTTATCCGCCAGGGGAAACTGACACATACCACGGAAGGCAGACACAAATGCAGCCTTTGCTGTCTGTATTGAAAAGCATATTACTTTCTTGAAAGAAGTTTCTTACGTGGAAGGGAAGTTTATATTTTAGTTCATTAAACTGCGAAGTTATTTTTCTGTTCAATGTCAAATGCGAACTTGGGTGCCCGCGAGCGCTTTTTTTTTTTTTTTTTGATTTTTTGGAGTATTTCAAATACTATATATCAAACAACAGATGGAGGCCTGACCCAAAAAAAAAAAAACAACAGATGGAGGCCCACATTTAATTATCACTAATGGCATGGCATAGGAGTTAAGGACAAGATTGGAGAAATAAGGGCGGTGTAAAAGGAGCTTTAAGAGGTCTGTAACGCAAGACGTGGGGAGCAGAGAAAGAACAAAAGTACAGAACGGCCTCCACAGAGCATGCCTTCTTGTCGGTGTTTTACCCCTCATTAGTTCATCCATTCCTTATCATTATCATCATCTCGCCTTTTTGTATTCCTTAATCTCAGAAACACTCAAAAGTTCAACTAGGTTTAGATTCAACACGCTTCCCAAACATGTGTAATTTTCCAATCCAACTAGCTGTAATCCTGTCTTTTAAGGTTTCAGTTTTCTTCATAAGCTTCAAGTTACTGAAGAACCACTCCTCTTTCTCCGACAGATGCGTTCATTTATGTGATTCTTTCTAGCTTGTTGTTTTATCACATGTATTGAACATTATAATAAAAATATTCTGATTGAGTTTTAACTTTACATACAAATTTTCATAATTAGACATCTATGAGACCCCCAAAAAAAATATATTACCCCTTAAAAAGCCATACTACAGTCACATTAACATCCCCTATAATGGGAATCTATATAAGCTAAAGAATGCAAACCATTGATGGCTATGCCTTGTCTTTTATGTTTAGTTCATTGTACCTTTCTATTATAACCTCACTGGTTCATGCCATGCCATGATATTACAGGACCACCGTATCCTATGCAGGAAGACGACAAGTAAAAGATCTGATTCTTAACCTATGAAGACCAAAAAAAAAAAAAAAAGTGAGATTTTGACAGGTATGCCTTGGCTACATGGAAAGGTCATTTATATCAATCCCAAGGCTAAAGCCAGTGAAGCAACATTAGACACTGGACTCTAGTGCTAACGTTGTCACTGCACTAACCTACACCCTCATTTCTAATTTATTTCAGAATTCTTATTCTCAAAAACCCCACTTGCTTTCACGATGATGATCGCAAGGGCTCACTAATAATGATTTGCCCGCCCTCTATACATGGCCTACAGTCCCCATTCAGGATCCGGAAACAGAGGAGGGGTGGGTGGGTATTATTTGAAAATAATATAATATTCTCCAACTTTTTACACCGCAGAATCTTTTTCATCTTCGGAAATTTAAGAACCAAAATGAATTACCGATACCAAAAAGGCAAATATTAGATGTTACACAAGTTCACACATCAATAACAATAACCACATATTATGTTTAATACCACTCTGTAATAAGTTGCAGAACCAGTATGTAATTAATACAGACATATATAGTTTGATATAAACAGACGGTATTTAATCATCTAATGGAAGCCACTTTATTCTTCTCTATAGCCCTGAGAGGTTCCTTGTAACAAGAAAATAAAATAGGAAAAATGACCATTAAGGACCCTTAAGGATATTAATCCAAATTAAGAATTATGGTTTTTGATTGGAATAAAAAACATACATAATTTTACAGAATTGCCCTCCACTAAACACTAAAAGATAATAACTTATGCTTGTGTTCTCTGTTCATTTTGAGTGCGAAAAATCTGCTCTTATGTGCTCTCGTACACGAAAAATCTTAGCAAAAAAGCATAACATTCAATGGAGTGGATTGTCATCTGAGCCATCATCTTCTTCTCTTCTTGGTGAATTACATACATTACTTCTTTTATATTTTCTCCCCTCTCACGTGAAAAATCTAAACTTTTATATTTTTTCTCTTCTCTATCTTTCACGACTTCTCTTCTCTCTTGAGCGAAAGACAATTTATATATCTTTGTAAATGTTATTTTACACCGTTTTTTTTCTATAGCTAAAAAAAAAAAGATCTTATTAATGATTATATAGATTATATTTATATATATATATATATACAATAAATGATTTCTAACATAGATAATGTTAAAAAAAATTGAGTGAAAAAAAAACATGTAATAAGTGTGCTGCTTTTTTTTTTATGTTGTGATGAAAAGTACACCAATGTTGAAAAATATAACATATATGCTAAATTGTTGTAGTCATAGTTAGAATTATGGGAATGATAGTTATGAAGTACTAAATTTGTATGTTGCTCCTAGTAGTTTTATGTTTATTTCCTATATGGCAAGTGCTTCAACAAAAGCATTATTCACTTGTTAGTAATTGTGAATGCAATATGAAAAATTTCTTACCATGGTTATTGCCAGAATTTTCCTCTAGGCAAGAACTTGAAGGTATATTATACTCTTTACCATGTTCAACATAAAATACTCTTGCACTATTCCTTGAGGTTAATTAAGTAAAATGGAAAGATTTATTTATAAGTATTGGATAGACATTTGATGATACAACTATATTTACAAAAGCATTTGTGTACAAGAAAAAAATTTATAACTCCACAATAATTCTGGTGGAAACCATTAACATACCTATGTTGACCAAGATATATTATGAAAATTATGAAAACAATATTTTTTTTTGAAACTACTACTGACTACATGTCTCCTAAGACGCCACACACCAAGCGAATGAAGTCAGCTTCAAAACAAGAAGATGTACGATTACTCAAGATGTAATCAAGGTGGACGTACAAAAAATATATATAAGAATCCCAATCCAAGAATAGATATAGGGATTGAAAGGGATAAAAAACATATGCATATTAATTAGTTTGAAATTAAAATGTATCTGGTTTTTATTTACTTAGTATGTTTTATTGTTGAATGACTTTTTGTACAAACACCCACACCATTTTTTTTGTATATGTGGTTGTGACAAGTTATATAAATAGGTTTGCAGTCTACATTATTTTTGAAAATGTAGACTGCACAAGTACTATTTAGATATAGATGAGATATTTTGTGTGTAAAAATGGATGTAAATATGGTGCATATGTATTGAAATCAATGAAATGTAATGCTAATGTCTATTTCAAGTCTAATTATGCGTAATTGCTATAATAATATAAGACTACTGAAATCATTAACGTAGAATGAGAATATTATTATTGTAATTTAAGAAAACATGGACCCTAATTAGGAATAGATTTTTTCCCAATATCAAAGAAACTTTTGAGAATATCATAAGGTCATTTATGAATATACTAACGTAGCATAGAAATGTTGTTATTGTATCTTGTAAAAATATAAAACCTCA